ATGGTGATGGCACATGGGTGAATTGGTGATGGGAAGTCCGTGGGGATTGCAGCTGAGATGGAAAAAGGCACAAAATGATGTAAAAATAAACTATTATAATAAAAGCAAACAATAAAAAAACCAAGACACTTGAGGGGAGGGGTCCAGGATAGTGGAAGGCTCACTTTAGGTGCCCTTTCCTCTCCCACACAGACACTGTCTTTATTAGTCTCTCAGTGAGTTTCTTTATAGAATAACAAGCTACTACGAATACATAGTCTTAATTTTTCTCCCTTCTACAACAAAAGCATGTTTTACACACTGTTGTACCTTGTGTTTTTCACTTAGCAACGCAGTTTGGGGGCCTTCCTAAACAGTGCATCAGGGTTTCTTTATCCTTTCTTCTGGCTGTAGTTTACTCCAGGTGTGGCTGCATCATGCCCTGATTACTCACCCCTTTTGGAGCTTCTTGGGTTGTGTCCACTCGTTTGTAGAACAGATTTATTCATAGAAATCTGCAAGCTTGTATAATTTCTGCAAGCTTGTGAGGGTGCCGTGTCACAGGGTAAATGTAGTTTCGGTAGTTACTGCCAGGTTGCCTTCTACAAGTTTCCTAATATGCCATCACGCAGCCATAGCTGTACCGCTTTTAAGTCTTAAGAAATCGACCTTTTATTTTTAGTTTCCCAGGCTCAGTTGAGACATTTAGGTTTTAATCTCGGCTCTGTTGCTCATTACATATGGCCTTCATTGCTTTTGTGTCTGCAGCCTCTTCTCTAAAAAGGAGATGGAAACGTATCTCTCTTCTCTGTAAGATGTTAAGATAAAAATGAGAATATATATTTTATTTGATTAAAAAACAAATGAGCCTTACGAAATATAAAAAATAACCTTCTCCTGTCACATCTTGTACACATCTTTTAACACAAAGAATCTACACTTGGGAATGTAGCACATAATCACCCAGACCGTCATGAGTTCTGAGGCAGAGGAGGGAGCTTAAAGTATACGGTGGCAGAGTGCTCAGGGAGGTAAATGGCATTTCAGGGAAACTTGCTGGTGCTGAAGATAATTATTCTCAGAGGATTTAGTTTAAGCATTTACTCTTTGATCTTATAGTTGATGAGAAAAGAAAGTCCAAAACTACCCACATGGTGCTCCTGGAGATCATTAAAGAAGAAGGCCTGTGAGTATACCGCTCTCTTCACGCTCGGAGGAGGCTGGGGCCTTGGGATGTCATTGTCGGCCTTGTGAGTGCGTAGCTGCTTTCATTCCTAGAGCTCTGTCGTTGGCTGCTGTCATGTGCTTGATTGTAGTCTTTGGTGAAACCAGTGCTGTTTTTTGATGTGGTAAACCAAAGAAGGTAACAGTTGTCGCTTCATTCTTATTAGATGCTGCTCCTTTGTTTTTTTCACTTTTTATGTGGAAATTATTTCGAATTTACAAAATGTTGCAGAACTAAGAGTACTGCAAAGAAAACTCGTAGATGCTTTACCCAGACTCACCTATTATTAGCGCTTTTCCCATTATTTTTCTACCATTTGTGCTCCCACTTTCCTCCTTTCCCCTTCTGTCTGTTGAACATAGTACCCACCCTACACAGAGTCTTGTTCAGACAGTTTAAGAATAAGATAAAGTATGTCAAAGCCCCTATGATGCTGACACTTTAAAAGAATATTGACCCCTCACATTTATTTTTTGAAGATTTATGTATTTACTCATATAGAACTGGGGTGCAGGCCAGAGGTGCAGGGGCGGTGAGAGGCTTCACCAGAGACAGAGTGGGGGAGCAGAATAGGCAGATTGATAAAGTACACTGCTGAGGGGAGCAGCCGGTAGGCAAGGGGAGGTGTGGGGCCGGGTATGGAACTCACACTGAAGCGGATGCAGCTAACTTTCAGTGCTGTGCCTTAACCCGCTGCACCACCAGGGAGGGCGCCCCCTACCTTTTTGAAAAAATAAAATGTTTCTCATTTTAAGTTTTCTTCAATTTGAGTGAGCCACGGTATGATTTTTCTGTAGTCCATGGGGAGGCATTTTAGTTAGTATCAGTATAGATTCAAAAGTTATTATTTTCAGTGGCTTTTAATTAACTGCTGTCAACTGTTATTTTTATGTTTAAATGGTCCCATGTTTGACCAGTGGGAACCCCTTCAGGTCTAGTTCCTGTGCCATTTTTAACATGCCCTCATAATTTTTTGTGCTTTTTTTCTACATCTATTTCCTTTTAAATATTCTTGCCTGTACTAATGTGTGATGGATATTCTATAACTAACAGCCAGGAGAAGTTAGCTCTGATTTTACATAATGATTTTACTAAGGCAATCGAGGCAGAAAAATCAGCAAATTGGTTATTGAATGTGTATTGTTTTTCTAATATAATTAATGGTAAGAAGGATTTCTTGGTTTAGGCACCTTTCAGAACATCAGGGTCGTGTACAATTTGTAGTGCATTGTAATGTGAGTAAACTTTGAGAATACCTGCATGAGTCACACTTTCCTAGGATTTTCTCTGTCCATTTCTATTGGCTTTTATCCATCTTTATTTTGCTTAATGTATTTTTCCCCCTAGCCTGGCACCGTATCGAGGGTGGTTTCCAGTTATCTCCAGTCTCTGCTGCTCCAATTTTGTCTATTTCTACACTTTTAATAGCCTCAAAGCCGTCTGGGTCAAAGGCCAACGTTCTACTACTGGAAAAGATCTGGTAGTTGGATTTGTTGCAGGTAACAATTTTCTTGATTAAAAATACTTTCAGATGGTAACATTATAGTTAATATGTCCTCTAGGAGGCTATTTTAGCATAATGTAATTCTAAGTGTACAAAGCATGTAGTTCACACTTTGGCTTTGCCTGTGTGTTATAACACATGTAACATAAAATTTACTACCACAACTATCTTTAAGTTGCACTTCAAGAATGTTGTGGAATAGAGCTCCAGAATATTTTCAGACTCTGTACCCATTAACAACAATGCCCTTTTTACCTCCCTCTGCCCTTGATAAGAACCACTCTACTTTCTGTTTCTGTGAATTTGGCTCATTTATATGCCTCATCTAAGTGGAATCATACAGTGTCTAGCTTTTGTGACTGGCTTATTTCACTCAATATAATGTCTTTAAGGTTTAGCCATATTGTATCATGTGACAGGAATTCTCTCCTTTGTAAAGCTGAGTAATATTCCACCACAACCCCCCATTTTGTTTATCTAGCTACCAATAGTATTTCAGTTGTCCCCACCTCTTGGTTACTATGAATAGTGGCTGCTAAGTACATCTCTTTAGAGTCCTATGTTCAGTTCTTATGGATATATACCCAGAAGTGAGCTTGCTAACTCATATATAGTTTAATTTATTTTGTGAAGAACCAACCTGTTTTCCGCCACTTACACTTTTTTTTTTAAATAATAGCCATTCTGAGCTGTGTAGGATGATATTTCACCAGTTTTGATTTGTGTTTCCAACATGAGTGATGTTGGACATCTTTTCTTGTGCTTGGACAATTATATATCATCTTTGAGAATGTACAAATCCTCTGCCTATTTTTTAATTATGTTACATGATGTTGTTGTTGAGTTGTAGATACTCTTTGTATACACTAGATATTATCCCCTTATCCAGACACAGGACTTATTTTTTATGTCCTTTGTTACTTAAAAATTTTAGGACATTTTTCTGCTTGTTTTTATTTGTTTGTTTGAGATGCTTTGGTATTGTGTCCGAGAAGTCATTGCTAACTTTACATTTTTTTCGTCTTGCGTTTAGATCTGTAACCCATGTAGAGTTAATTTTTATATGTGATGTGAACTAAGAGACCATCTGCATTACTTTGTATGTACCCCGTTGTTTATGAGGCCGTACTTTCCCCAGCTTCCCTTGTGGAAGATGAGTTACCATATAAGCAAAGTTTTATTTCTGGGCTGACTTGGCTAATTTATCTTTTTTAGTATAGAGAAAGTCAGTTATTCCTGTGGAGTAACTTGTACCTGGGACTTAAGGAAGCTAAGATCTCTTTTTTTAAAAAAAACACAACTTATACCTTCTCTGCTTGCTTTTTTTTTTTTTTTTTAATGATGTATTTATTTACACATGTAAGAACTGGGGTGTAGGCCAAAGGTGTGGAGGGGTGAGAGGATTCACCAAAAAGAGTGGGGAATGGAACAGGTGGATTTACTGAAATCCACTACTGAGGGGAACAGCAGGCGAGACAGGAGAGGTCTGTTTGCACTGTGTGGGTTTAATAGGGGTTAAACTCGTGCTTTGGTAGCTGTCTTTAACCCCTGAGCCACCAAAGAGGCACCTCCCCTGCTTACTTTTTATGATTTTTTTATTTGTCTTTTGCACTGAGGCTCATATGTTATATTTAACATGAACAAGACTGGCTACATAATTTGCAGGACTCGTTATAAAATGAAAATACAAGAGTTCTTGTTTATAATTATTAAGTTTTTATAGATAATATCACCAAAGCATTAAGCCAAGCCAGCAAGTTGTATGTGAATGAAACCAACACTGAGTATGAAAGCATTTCGTCTTCATATGGTATCTAGAATTTGGCCCCTTTTCTCCACTGCTGCTTCATCCTTTGCTCCTTTCAAACTATATTCAACACATTTGCCAGTGTGATCGTGTTAAAACTTACATGAGATCACATTATTTTTCTGCTTAGAGCCCTCCAGTTGCTTCCCAGTCTCCCTCAGAGTAAAAGCCAAAGCTTTACTTTCCTCCTACAGAGTGCTCTCTGACCTGGCTCTGTTCTTTGCTTCACTTACACCCTGCACCATGTCCACATGGCTTCCTCCCTGAGCACTTCCTGGCATGCTTCTACCTCAGAGCCGGTGTGCTGCTGTTTCCTCTGCTTGCGCACTGCATGAGTCACTCCCTCACTCCTTCAGTCTTTCCCTAAATGGCCACACTCTCTGTCCCCAATACTCTGTCCCTTCTGCCTAAATTTTCTCCTTAACCCTATCCTTTAACTTGATATACATTTTACTCATTTATCTTGTCTTAAACCATTAGAATGAAGGCTTCAGGAGGACAGGGATACACTGAATACTCAGCGTGTATGAGGTCAGCAGTCGCGGCTGAATGACTTATGGAAGAGGGACTAGCCCTGTGTCACAACTCAGCCTAAAACACATGAAGTCATTTCAGAAATGCTGGCTTGTACCTCATGTGAAAGCTTCCACTAATTTCAAGTATGTTTCCAGTTACATTAAGAAGGTAGATTTAATATCAGTAAAAATAAAATTTCTAACAGCTCTTGGGACAAATAGGACATTGGGAGGGAGAGTGAATTTCCATCTTTCCAGATTTTCAAAAACAATCAGTGGTTCTCAATTGAGACCGATTTTGACCCACAGGAAACATGGCAATGTTTGGAGACAGTTTTGATTGTCACAGTTGGAACAACAGGGATGGGAGGGCATGGGGTATGTAGATTTGGGGAGGGTGCCACAGGCATCTAGTGCATAGCACCCCGCTTCCCCAGCAAGGAGTTCTCAAGCCCAGTTGAAGGCCCTTAGCAAATGAATCACAGGCTGCTTATAAGTCTTCTCTTCTTCTGAAGGTAGGGAATTCTTTGGAAATAACCAAACTTCTGATAACTTGTTTTCAATCTTAATACCTACAATTCAGACAATAATTAGAGCAGTTTTTTTTTCTCTTGCTGTGAGCTCTGTCGTTGTAGTATAATCATTGTAGAAATGAGAAAGTCATAATCTCCAAGGGTCACTAAAAATGGTATTATTGTTTTCTAAATTCTACTTGAAATTTAGAAATGTATTATTCTTTATTTTCACAGGGAAAAAAAACCATATAGTTTAATACTCTAGGGAAGAATTTGGGGAAAGAACTTTACAGATAACTTGAATGACAAAGATTATTTGCCACTTCTACAAGCTTGGAATTTTTACCCATAACTCCTTTTGAGTGACACCGTTGTTATTGTTAAAATTCAACGTGATCTTCCTGCCCTATTGCCTTAAATCTGATCAGACAGGTTTGTTCCCCTTGTGTGTCAAGTTTCATTCCCTCACAGGGAGGATGGCAATTAGATTTGTGATTTGATTGTCATTTTCTGTTATCTGCCAGTATTTCTGAGGGCATACCCAACTAGATACTTCATCTTTGTGTGTTCTCCTAACAAAGAAGTCTCACTGAGATAAAACTCTTTCTGAGATTTCAGAAGTAAATAACTATGTTACAATTATTCCTTGAATCAGTAATTTTAGTGAGTGTCCTCAGTGCAAGTTACTGTTCCTACTGTCTTAATTATGGTTAAATCTTTTTAAGTGCCTCTTATAGATGGAATATAAAGAAAGAAAATAATCATTTGAAGTGGAAGAGAAGAAAGATCTCCTGTTCTTAAATAGAACACTGGTATTCACATTTTAGAGCTGAAGCAATAGCCGCAGTTAAAACCGGCAGAATTTTCTTCACAGACTGACAAATAAAGCTAATAGAAAAGAACAGTGCTTTATCTTTCAGTGCTGTCTGTCAGGCACTCATACACTTGTTTTTCCTCTGTGGAATCTTGGCCTTTGCTTGATTTGTATAGCTTGCAAGTTTCAGTACAGTTTTGTAGCCTTAAGTATTTTGAATATCTTTTCCCAGAACATATAAAATGATAGTGGTTAAAAAGTAGGTTTCCATCTATTTTGGTTTAGAAGATGAAAAAAGTACTTGAACTTCTTAGATAAAAAGCTTTGAAATACAAAATGTTTTACAGGAACTGGATATTCTTTTCTGTAAGTGCTATAGTGCATTTTTGTACTTGAGATTGTTCTTAGAATCCTTTTAGTCTTTCAGTTCATATTTATTATGGGAGTATGAAAGCAGAATTTTAAATAATAGTTAAACCCTAATCTTGGCTACATTGCCTCTGAAGTGTTTTGTGTGTGTCTACCTCTTGAACATGAAGGGAATTTTGATTTCTGGCAAATTTTTTTAGTGGACGACCTATGTCATTTGTTTAGAATTATCTAGGAAGCCTGTCATTTTGGTCCTGAACTGCCCTGTTTCTTCATATTAGAAAAATGCAATAGACAATTCAGTAGCACTTTCTAGTCTGGTTTTTCTGGCCGTTGAGTTTTCTGTTTGGTGATATGACATTACATTGAGGAGGAATGTTTTATAAAGTCTGGGCAAATGACTATGTATTGATACTCTTCTCTCTTGATTTCTTTGGTACTGGTGCTTGTTAAAAATCAGACCAACAGTGTCTAAGTAAAACTTTTTCAGATTGTGATCTCAAGTTGTTAGGGGGAAAGGCTATCCTGAACAAACTCTACAAATACACAGGTTTTGTGGATTCCACCCCCTACTCCAATCACTAAAACTATAACTCCCAGCAACATCAAAGGGAGGACTGCAAGGACTCAAAGCTGGGCCTAAGACTTTTTTTTGGAGACTTTTGGGGTATATATAAAGGAGACATGTTGAGCGGACTCTTTCTCTCCCTTGGCCTTGTGGCTGGTGGCTGGTCACTTGGCTCTTGATCAGCTTTCAGTGTCGATCAATGACTTGGGGTTCCAAGTCAGCAGAACTGGTTGTACACACTAGCTCACTTGTATCTCTCTTTTGCTCTGTTTCCCAGGGTTGTTTCTTTTCCCCTTTTAGATAAACCCACTATTGATCCTTTTTGTGTATGTCTGCAGTACAGTTGACTCTTACGTGGGGTGAGGACCCACAGACAGGCATCCCAGTTCACACTGGGTTGCCCTGTAACAAAGTGACAACATGAATATACAATAAATTGTAACTCAAGGTAGCTCCTTGGTGTTACATGGTATTACTCTATGAAAATATAATAAATACAACTTGCAGAATAGCTTGAGAATGTCTATTATTTTGAAAAATGTGTTCACATAATGCTCCTAAAAGAGAGGTAGCAAGATTTATGAAACAAATGGAAAAGTGGAATCTGGATTGCTTGACTGTCTCACCAAGTTTGTGCCTGTTCAGACTGTGTACTGTGGTCTATTTTGAGATCCTTCAAGTCAAAACGTTCTTTCTCCTTTCGTGTTTACAGGACTTTTATTAAAGATCTCTCCTCCCTCTTGTGCCTCTTGGTTCTTCAGTGTGGCCAAGCCAGATTGCACTCATGCTGTTTGCCAAGTTTGTTCATAGGCTCATTTGTTAACTTTTTATGAACAAATATAAAGTAAATGTTACAGTGTGACAGGCATTTTGTTAAAACTCTGCCTGGTGTCTGTTGTTGTTTTTAATCATTTCAGGGCTGATGAGGAATATTTTAATGTCTCAAGGTATTAAATTAAGGTCATATGTTTTCAAAAAAAGAAGCCCCTGACACTGCATTATTCCACTCCGAGACAGCCTGGGGTGGCCCCAGCTTTGAGCTTGTAAGGATCGTGATGCTTGTGACACTGCTTCAGGTGTTCTGTGCTTGCTGCCTGCCTGTCATGACTCCCTAGGTGATGAGGCACTCTTCCTGCGCCCCTAGTCCTCACTGAAGCATTTCTGGACATCACCAGGTCTCTGCCTGTCATCAGCTCCGTACGCACTTAAAACCACGTGAACTGTTATGTGATCGCTATAAACTGTGTTTTCTGACCTTGTCATCGATTTAAGCATGTGATCAAATAAGCCACTTCACCTCACTTAAAGCCCTTATTTTAAAATAATGTTTAAAACCTGTATATCAAAATTGCCACTTTGGAAGCATAGCAGTTGACAAGTAGATGGTCTCCTGTTACACAGAAGAGGAAACTCAGCACTCGTCTGTTGTGGCACAGCACTGGTGCCAGCAGCTTTGCCATCAGCAAAGCTTTTGAATTGCTCCTCACAGTGGTGGCTTGTGTCGCAGATTTCATGCGTGGCACATAGATTCTTTGCGTGGGTCGCCTGGTAAATCAGGGGCCGAGGTGTAAATGGAACACTGAGGTGTGGTCCAACATAAGGCAGCAAAGCTTAAAAAGGTTCCATTTTGCTTTTCCTTTTGTCTCTCTTTTTGAAGGGGTGGTGAATGTGTTGCTGACAACACCACTCTGGGTGGTAAACACCAGACTGAAGCTGCAGGGGGCAAAATTTAGGAATGAAGACATTGTACCAACCAACTACAAAGGCATCATTGGTAAGTGTCTCTTGGCTGACTGCCTGTTGAAAGTTTCACCCACCCCCCTTTACAAATAAATACAAATAATGCTGAATAACTTACAACCACAAATCTCAGTATCCAGCAGTAAGCTGTGTCTGTGGATTGATGCAGATTTGACTCAGCACAGCTGTGCTCACTGTGCTGGAGCAGAGACCTGGGACCAGCCTGAGCATGTTCTTCTTGGGGTGCTGGCAGAAACACATAAGACACATGTGCCCTGGCATACAAGCCTATTTCAGGCCACTTTTGTATCTTGTCTCCTAACATTTACCTGCCTTAAGTACAACCAATGACCAATCCCAAGACCTACAGAGAAAACTACTCATGAATAGGTAGGGTGAACTAGTATTCTGAGGATTAGCCACATTTTTCTTGCTAGTGTTATCTCTGGATAACTATAATAGATGGATGTCTGATGTCCTCAAGCTTCTGCCTTTTAGTATCACCTTGCAGGTTCTCCTTTCATGTATTTCCATCTTTGCAGTAAGAGCAGTGGTTTTCTTATAGGTGGTCCTATAAAATGGACTCCAAGGAACTCTTACCTTTTGTTGTACTGAACTGATTTGTGAAACTATCAATTCACACTTTTTCATAATAAGAGTTCTTAGGAGTGATTGCTACTTACAGAAACAACATTTTTGTCCCAGACTGTCAAGAACTGTTACCAGTGATTGAAATTTGTCTCTTCTGCCCACTTCAGCAGCACCATGTGCTAAAATTGGAAGGAAACAGAGAAGATTAGCTTGGTCCCTGCACAAGAATGACATGCCAGTTTGAGAAGCATTCCATGTTTGTAAAAATGAAATTGCTCTCTCGGTAAACTTGATGATTCTAGTGTCTGATGATTATCAAAAAATAGTTAACTGATGAACTAGCTCCTAAAATATGATTTGCAAGAAAGAAAGCATGATAGAAGTATGCTTGATATATCAGCATGGTTTTTGTCTTGCATACACGTGAAGAGAATGAATACACACTGGCTTTTGTAGTTCGAAAATTCTTATCAAATGTCCTTGATTCTTGCTCAGATGCTTTTCACCAAATCATTCGCGATGAAGGAATCTTGGCTTTATGGAATGGCACATTTCCCTCCTTACTGTTGGTCTTCAATCCTGCTATTCAGTTCATGTTCTATGAAGGCTTAAAACGGCAGATTTTAAAGAAACGAACAAAGGTAATCCCTGATTTTAATAGCAGCAAATAATAATCTCTGGCAATTTCTTGTTGTTTGGATTGATTTGGTTTGTTTTTTCTTTGCTTTCCAGCTTTCTTCTTTGGATGTGTTCATCATCGGTGCAATAGCCAAAGCAATCGCCACCACGGCCACCTACCCCATGCAGACCGTGCAGTCCATTCTGAGGGTGAGTGCTAGCTCTCCTTGCATTTAGTTTGGGGAAATAGTCAAATGTGCCGTTTCTCTGTTTAAAGCAGTGTTCGTTAAGCAAGAAGCTGTTCAGTTGGTATGCCAGAGTGTTCCTTGTGATTTTTTCATTTGTTCGCTACATTGCTAACCAGGTTAAGCAAGAAGCTGTTCACTTGGTATGCCAGAGGGTTCCTTGCGATTTTTTCATTTGTTCGCTACATTGCTAACCAGGTTGACAATCACTTGGTTTCCTGTTTGGTTTGCAGTTTCTTAGGTACATGATGTCTCAGAAAACCCAGGTGTGGACTAAGGCTCCTTAAAGAATTTGATTCCTTTAGTTCACTCAGGGGAATTAAGGATTTTACTTTTCTGGAGTACTTTCAAATTCCTGATTGTTTTTATTTTTTTTTTCATTCATTTGGTTATTTATTCATTGGCATAATAATTAAGCCTCTATGTGAGTTGGGTGTAGATGGTGAATAAAAAAGTTACCAGTCTCTATCCTCACGGAGGTAACCGGAGAGAATGAACAGGCAACTAAGCAAAATAAATAGGTGATTACAAGTCAAGGAAAGAGCTGTAGAGTGACTGGCGTTCTGTGACTTGGTGGAGAGGGGTGTGCTATTTTGGGGATGGGCTCCTGTGAGGAGGCAAGGGTAAATCAAGACCTAGAGGTTGATAAGGACCCAGCTGTGTGAAGAGTAGAGGAAAGATTATTCCAGGTGGAGGGAACATGATGTGCTGAGAGCTTAATGAACCCTCTGAACTGAAAGGTGGCTGGGCAAAGAGCTGTGCAGAGAGAGACTGGAAAAGTAGCAGGGAGGCCATAGGTTACGACCAGATTTTCTCCTCACCACCGTGGGAAGCCACTGACTGGCTGTAAACGGAGGCAGAGTGTGGTAGGATTTACACTTCAAGAAGATGGCTAGGACTGTTGTGTGGCTAAATTTGTTCTAAAGGTTAGGAACTAATGGGAGAGGGGCTCTCAGGTAAGATACTTTTTCAATAATTCAGGTGAAAGTTGCCAGCAGCCAAGAGATAGGACAGATCAAATTCATGATATTCTCTGGAGAAGCTCAAAGTATTTTTACACTTGCAGATTTTTGAAATAATACTTTAATGTATTAATTGTGCATATACAAATAAATAAAGTTAAATATAAAAGAAATTTACAGGACTTAGTAGTGGATAAAATAGGGGTAGCACTGAGTATTTCAGTTCAAAAAATTGCCTTTTGTTAAGAAGAATTTTTACTGATGTACTATTTTAAAATTAGTACTTAACCTAAAGGAATTCAGTGACATTCAAATAAACACTTTGACATTTTTATAATGTAAGGATATAATGTGAAGAACTTAACCTGCAGAGATTCTAATTGGCTAATGCTTACTAACAACTTTAAGGACTGGAAGTCAAAGCATACCATCAAAATCTAAATATCATAACCATGTCTATATTTTTTTTTCTCTTGAGGTAGAATTTTCTCCATAATTCTTTATAAAATGAACATTCAGGTAAGAGGCCTTTTCACTAATACAGGTGAAAGGTGCTGGTAGCCACCACCTATTTTCACATACTTCGTTGAAATAGCTCATTGAAAAAGAGAATTAATATGACCCTTGTACTGATTGTGTAATGAGAAAATTCTGTGGTCGGGCTGCCTATCTCTGCCAAAAGCCAATTGAACAGAAACAGGCACTGACTATATAACGCACACATTGTCAGAAAGCCAGCAGTCTAAGAGAACAGGGGATATTTTCCTCCAAAACCCATCTCATCTCAAGCTCACCTTTTTCCAGTGTGCTAAACAAAGAGTGTTAACCAAGAAGCAAACCTCCCCCCACAGCAGCCTGTTGTAGTTGGTGCTTGATCTTTGTCATTCCCAGAGTCGGTTGTCTCCCAGGTCACCTTGAGCTGGGTACAGCCTGTTTTTCTGGTGGCGTCAATGTCCGACACTTTTTTAGGCATCTCTGGGGCGGGACTCTCAGTTCAAAACAAGAGTTTTAGTTTAAAGAAAACACATCACTGACCACACAGTGTTTGCAATCGCCTGTGTTGTGTCCGTGTGACGTCTAGATGAGGCGCACTGTCCTTTTCTCCCAGCACGTCCATGGACACTGTGTTGCGTGTGCAGGAGGGACTGCGCGCACGGTTTCCCCTCATGTAAGGACAGACAGAACAGGGAGTAAACAGCCATCTGTTTCTTTATCCCCAGTTTGGACGTCACAGACTAAACCCAGAGAACAGAACACTGGGGAGTCTCCGGAATGTTCTCTATCTTCTTCACCAACGAGTAAGGTGAGCTTGGTGGCTGTGCCACTGTCTGTCTCGTCTTTCAGCGCCCATCTCTGCCACGACGTCGTTGCATTTGCTTATCTCCACTGCTGCCTCGGTGGCCACCACCCTCGCTACACAGCTGTGCCCAGACACTTCTTATCTTAAGGGTTTAGATGACAGCATTTTGGAAAACGATGCTACCCTAATGGACAGTGCAGTATTCCACATCAGGCTTCTCCTAACTTTTGGTTAAGAAAAAGCTGTTATAATCCAGATTCATGCCTGCCTTCAGGGGTCTGGCTGTCTTCACTTCTACCACACCATAGTGGTTATGAGTTGGTGTAAGGGGCACTGCACTGCTCCCTTGTGTCGCTCCTTTGCTGCTTCCACAGGCCACTTTACCACCACATGTTGGGTCCCCAAGCGATGCTGTGTCACCAGCTGTTTGTGTGCAGTTTAACTCACTCTCTACCTGGAGGTGGCATCAGATACCACTGAGGTTGAGGACTCAGTCCCATGAGACCCCAAGTTTAGATGTACCCCAATTATAAGTACTAGGTCTGCGGGTTACCCATTTGCGACTCAGCTACAAATCTGAGGCTGCAGTGACCTCCTTTCCCTTGGATTGGTAGTTTGCTGAAACAACTCACAGAATTCAGGGAAATACGTAACATTTACCAGTATTAAAGGCCAGGATAAAGGAAACAGATGGACAGTCAGCTGAGGAGATGCCCAGGTTGAGTCTGGGAGGATCCCAGGACCAGGAGCTTCTGTTCCTCTGCAGTTGGAGTATTTGTATGTGCTCCCCAACCTGAAAGCGCTCAGAACCCCATACTTTTGGGAGCTTTTGGAGATTTCACTATGTAGGCATGATCCATCATTAACTCCATGCTAGCCCCTCTCCTCTTTCTGGAGAATAGAGGGTAGCAACCAAAATTTTCAGCCACACTTCTATTCACAGCTTGGTCTTTCCAAGCTGTCGGCTTTCTAGCCCCCATCTGGTTGCCCACGGAGAGTGAAATTGGAATAAAAGACACTGATAACATCCAGGAAATTCCCAGGGTTTTAGGAACTATGTCAAGAACTAGGGTCAAAGACCACATAGAAGAGGAC